GCTGAGGAGGAGGGAATGTAAGGGGATTTTGACCTTTTATTTTACTTTTGTATTCCTTGTTCTTATAGGTATAATTCCATCTAAATTTTGTTTTGAAGAATTGTAGTTTCATCCTCATCTCTGTTTTCTCTCTATAGTTGTCCTTTGTAACATAATATTAGATATTAGACAAAACTAGCATATTCCTGTAGGCATATTCTTTTATTTCTTCGTTATATGAAATTGCAGCTGTGCTTTTGGGTGGGGAAGAAGGAAGATGGTAAGAATAAATATTTGTGAGAAAAAATACCCATTACATAATGTAAAGTTTGGAAAACAATTATTTTTTTAAAAATCCTGCTCTGTGCTCTTCAACCACTGCCTGCCCCTCAGCTCAGATCATTGTCACTTCCCATCTTATTAACCTCCTAACTGGTTTGTCAGTTTGAGTCAGTAAACATTTATGGAGGGCCTCCTGTGTGCCAGGCACAGTGAGGTTGGAGGTAAGAAGATGAATAAGAGGAAGTGCCTTTGAGCTTGCAGTCTAGTTAGGGAGCAGCTAGATGATTTCAATGTAAGGGGTAAGGTAGGACTATGTACAGGAGAGTGGCACTAGGCCCAACCGGGGGGGTCAAGGCAAGTTTTCTAGAACAGTGGTCGCCAACCTTTCGGACCTCACGGACCACCAGTTGGCAACCGCTGTTCTAGAAGACATAATGGCAAAGTTAAGTCTTGGGTGATAGGTAAGAGCTAGATAAAGGAATGTGGGAACAGCATTCCAGCAGAGGGAGTGGTGTGAGCAAAGAAAGGAACAGTGTGCAGCAGTAGCACAAGTAAAACACAGGCCTTTGTTTCTCGAGTGTGAAGAAGGGAGGTATGACGGGTCCAGTTCATTGCGGCCTTGCGCTCTACATCAGGAGCTCAGACCTTACTCAGCTGGCAGTAGGGAGCCACTGAGGTTGTCAAGCGGAGGTTTTAGATCTCTGACAGTGTGGAGAACAGACGAGTGGATTTTGGTAGTCCAGCATAGAGGCAGGAGCTCAATTTGGAGGCTGGTATAACCCAGAGGAGAGTCACTGGGGTCCGAACCAGGGGCTGTAATTGGAGGCATGTGGAGGAGGAGTGGGTTCAGCAGATGTTTCGGAGGTTTGCAGAGGAGGTAGGTGTAGAGGTACAGGGAGGACTTTAGGATGACTCAGATGATCTGTTTCTGTTCTTGCCTTTCTTCATCCAATCTGTTGCCCACCCCACAGATTCAGTCTTGTCCTAAGCTGCGTCTGCTAGTCTTTCCGGTATTATTTCCCTTTTCTCATATGCTGCTTCAGCCTAGAAACTATGCTGACATTACCAAGCACCTACAGTGCTCCTGGCTATGGGAGGTGTGGGATGGATGATCATTGAGGACCAGTAGCTCCCGGTGCAGCATGGCTCAGGCCTCCCTGCTTGCTCTGTATGGCAGGCTTTGGGATTACACTGGCCTGGGTTGATAGCCTGCCCTATTGGTGGAGTGACTTGGGGTTATTACTTTCATGTTCTGTTTGGCAAAATGGGCATAAAATCCCTGTTTGGAGTTGTAAGAAGTCAACACACTGTTTATATAGGTCCTAGGACTCAGTAAGTAGCACTTACTGTCTTTTCCTTTTGTTAACAGATCTATCACAGAATCCCCAACTCAGATTCATCTTCCAGTAAAACCAGGCAGATCATCTCCACCATCAGAACACAGAATCTTCCCAGCTGTCAGCTGACCTCCCGAAGCCACTACTCCCCCATTTACCTGTCATTTCTCATGCTCCTGGCTGCCCTGAGCTGGCAGTATGTGAGTACCCTATCTCAGGTCACAGAAGACTATGTCCAGACCGGAGAACATTGATTTGTTCACCATGAAATAGACTGACCTTTTTTTCAAAGAGGGATATTGGCTTCCCCTTTTCTCCCCTCCTGCTTTAATCCTGTAATTCTGTGGGCTTGGACCCTGAGAAACTGAGGTGCAGCTGAGAAGAGAATAAAAGAGGATCCCTCACCCTCAGCACCTGGGACCTGTGGGTTGTGCTCACCTGCACATGGGCTGATGGTGCACTCGGTGGTGCAGGTCGGGAAGTGGTTGCCCTGGGACGCCTGACAGATCTGTGTGCATCCTGACTAGTTATAATTAAATGTGTTTAATTAAAAGCAACCTTTGATCTCTTATCCTAGTAGAAAAGTGAACTGAATTTTCTTCATGTTCGTTTGTTTTTCTCATTTTTTTCTTCAGTTGATTTGAAGGTAATTGCTGTGAAGTTTACAGCTCTGGGTAATTTTTCTGTTTCCTACGAATACAGACCATGTTCTGCACATGAAGGCTGGGAATTAACTTCATGGTGTCTGGTAGTATTTTCTTCTTTGAAGAGGTTACCTTCCAGAAAGATTGCCTAAGCCCCATTGTTAAAGATTGGTCTCGTTAAGGCAGTTTTTGAGATTTTGTAAATTAATGAATTACTCTGCAGTGGTCAAATGCAGTTCACTTGAAAGCTTGGGTGAGTGTGGCAGATAAAGGAACTCAAGGATGGAATTAGTGCTCGAGGGACGGATGGCACCATGATGCCACCTGGCGCAGTACCAATAAGGACACAGCTGCCTGGCCCCTGCATGACGGCCCGCTGGGAGCTGGGAAGGGGGCCCATGGCAGCCTGATTAGCTGCCAGCCTTCTCTGCTTTGCAGTTCCCTTAGCTGCTTTCAGGGTTTTAAACTCAGCTTTTGTTTCTTTTCGTTACCAGTTTATACACTGAAGCCTCAAGAAAGGCAAAAGCCATGTTCAGGTGATTTTGAAAGCTGAATGGTATGCAGCCCAATTCTAGCGCTGTGTTCACCTTCCTCCTTCCCAGCACAGCCGTTTTGTGATGTACTCTCACCCAGTGACTCGCTGAGATCTCAGCTTGGACTAGGGAGGGACCTGGCCCCACTAGGGGTGCCTGAAGCCCCTCAGGCTGAGAATCGCGTGTAGGGCGCGGCCCAGGGCTTTCTAGAAGCCAATAGTGCTCTCTGGGTGTATATAGCATATAGCCTACTCTGCTGCAGTCCTTTATGAAGTGTGTCTTGGTGAATTTGAGGTTTTTCCAGCAGTGGTGCTGGATTTGCATTGTTGTACACATGCCCACACTGATTTTCCTCCGGACAGCCGCCACCGGACAGTTGGCTTAGTTTTTCGCTCCAGGGAAGCTTCAGATAATTGGTTCATTTGAGGCTCAGCCCTGGACAAACTAGTGACTTGCCATGTACCCACCATTCAGCTGTGAACCAGACTCAATAGTAATCTTCCAAGAGGTTTAAAGCATCAAAACTTGGTTTGAGCCCTGGCCGGTTTGGCTTACTGGATAGAGCGTCAGCCTGCGGACTCAAGGGTCCCAGGTTCAATTCCGGTCAAGGGCATGTACCTTGGTTGCAGGCACATCCCAGTAGGGCGTGTGCAGGAGGCAACTGATCGATGCTTCTCTCTCATCGATGTTTCTAACTCTATATCCCTCTCCCTTCCTCTCTGTAAAAAATCAATAAAATATATTTAAAAACAAATAACTTGGTTTGAGATTCCAGGACGGGTTAAGAATTTGTGTGAAGTCTATGGTGAGCTCTGAAGTTCATGGTGGACACAGCCTTGGTCTGAGGTGGACATCCCAGAAGCTTCTCCTGTGGCTGAGCCACGACCTGTGGGACTTGCCGAGCTTGTGTGGTTTGGTGACCTTAGGTCCCTCCCAGCTGCAAAGTGGTGGAATTTTTACATCACTGACTTGTGTAGAGGTCTTAGATCTCAGGCCCACACCTGCTCCCTTTCTTGAGACTTCAGATGTTTCCCATTTAAATGTTTTTCTACTAAAACTGCCAGATGAAATGCAGGGTGAAACCCAGTTAAAACTCGGATAAATTTAAGTATAATTATATCCCAAATATCGCATGAGACATTTATATAAAAAATGGTTCGCTTTCGCAGCAGATACTGAAAACATTGTCTGAAATTCAAATCAAATTGGGCATCCTGTATCTTTATTTGCTGAACCTGGCAACCCTGCCCTTTATACTACACTTCAATGTAATTAATAAAATGTATGGCATTCCTGGCATGCAGTCCACCTGATTCCTCCTCACAGTGGTAGCTGAGGTAATGATCAATGGCGATAACTTGGTTTATTGATGCTGATCCCTATTTTTTTCTAACAAAAACTCCTTAAGCCACATGTGAAAATGACCATCATGTTACATCATCTTGCACATCCCTCCTGGCTTCTGGGATGAGGATGGAGTTGCAGGGAACACTGTGGAGGTAGGAGAAAGTGCGTGAAAATGGAATTATTCAACTCACTGTGGGAGTAGGTGAATAACTTCATTGAGGTTATGAACATATTCTCATCTAAATGTTATGAATTTACAGCTTTGGTAAATGCTATGCTGGGTTTCACAGATTTTTCCTAGTGTTCACTGGGTGTTTAAGACGTTATCTTAGGAGCGTCTGATTCTTCTGAGTCACATCAGAAGTTAAATCATGATTTTGGGAAGAGCTAGTCCAACTCACAGGTGGGGAAGGGAAATAAGATATTGACAGGCCAGTGGGATGGGTATTGATTCTTCAAGTTGCCTCTGTTCCCCTCAAGAACTGGTGTACCTCGTGGCTTATGATTCTTAGCTAGGCCTATCCAAAGGAATCTTTCTTAACCAGCAGTAAATTAAAGTCACAGGGAACTTGCAAAGGAGCGCACCAGGCTCTGCCTCCACCCCATTCCAGCAGTGGGAGGCGCCAGGGAAAGCTGGTCCTCCAGCAGGACATGGGCTGTGACAGGGACTAAAAAGAGAGAAGCTGTGGTCTGAAAGGATGCTGGAGTGGAGAGAAGCTAAAATTAGGTATTTACTTTGTTCCCCTCGACTGACAGCCCTGATTAGAGTTTAAAGAGCACCCAGATCCATGAGCCCATGTTTCTTTCTGTGGGATAAGGATAGACAGCAGCCACAAATCTACAGACAAATGATCTTTGAGGTCCCACCAGAACAGACCTGACATTGAAGGAGAAACCTTTTATTGGCACAGTATTCCTTCTTTAATAGGGTATAGCAGTGATTTTTAAACAATAAAGGCTGGTTTCTCTCTATTTTCATTGTATTAAGAGGTCAGTAAGTCAGTCAAATCAAGACCACCCAGTTTAAGGAGACAGTTGGTAAAACTACTACAGCTCTTCCAACATTAGACTACTTCATTCTCATGATCAGCTGAGGTGCACAAAAAAATAAAACTTCTATTTAAAAATCATGCCAAGATCAGAGCAGGTTTGCAACACTGCAAAGCTCGACAGATGCAGGAGCCCCGGGGAGAGTGGCTTTTTCCAAAGGGCTGCCCCACTATTCTCTTCTCAACCTATTTTCAAATTAGAAAGCTGCTTGCTCAGAGGTACTGCTGATGGTGGGATGCATGGGAAGCAAACATTAGGAAATCCACCTTTCATTCCTTTGGAAAAACCCTGTAGGCCTATCATGCTCCCTGGTGATGCACAGATGGAGAAGGACGAAGGATGTGGAGGTGGTTGCAGGAAGAGCCGAGCAGCACTAGTCTAAGGGGGAAGGACTTGCATTGCGTGTAGCAGTGGTTTAAATGCATTGTGACAACAGTCCACTGAGTGGCCTGGGAGGTAGCCAGGCCTTGGCTGTGTCTCCTTGGAAGACTGCTCTCATGGTAGACACAAGGTTTGGCCCAATCCAGTCCTTCAGGCCCTGTCTAAAACCCATTTGTACTCAAAGAATAAAAGACACTCCTATCCCTCATGTCACCCCCAGCCCCACTGGCTATATTTCAGGAAACACTGCCCCAGGGCTGGCTGGAAGGGCCCACAGCGGGTTAGATCCTTTTCCAGTACTGGTCCGTGCAGGGGAGTCCAGCCACGATCTCCGACTCAATTCCACAGTGATCCTGTCCTCTGAGGATTTTAAAGAAGCCTGGAAAGCAAAAGTAAGATGCCTTTAAAGTGCGCCTTGGGTTTGGGGCCTTGCCAACATATTCAGACTCATCCCTGAAAGACCCAGGAGCGAAAGTCACCAAACAGACACCAACCCAGCATCAGGGTGCTCTACCAGCTTCCAGTTTACACAGCAGCCCCGCTCCACATCAACCCCATGTCACCTGTCACTGCACCTGGTGCAAGGGGGATGGGAGCACAGCGATCTGAAGCTGGGCCCTGCTCCCTACCACCCTCTCTCAGGATCAGAAGCTGCCCTTGGGGCAGAGGGAAACTAGCCCCCTAGCACCTGGAAGGTCACAGTTAAGCCTAGGGTTTGGAGCTGTGCAGTGGGTAGAGCAGAGGAAGATAAGATGACAACTGTGTTCTGGCTTGTAACACCCTATTCTTAGCAGGAAGGGAGCGGCACTCACCATTGTCACCCCAGTCGGTGTTCCAGGAGTTGCCAACCAGCCAGTAGGGGGTGTCATTCTCCACTCCCCAGCCCAGAATGCGGACTGCATGGCCTCCCACCATTTCTCCGGTGACATGTTGGTACACGCCTGAGAAAGGAAAACACCAGTCAGGCTGAGACCCAGCCACCGCCCCATCCCTCACAGCACCCCTCCACATCTGCTGGCTCCCCAGGCAGGATAATCGGGGCCCAAAAGGCCTACTATTATCTTCAAATGGGGGTTCTCTATTCGGGAGTTATTTGAATATATTTTTGAAAGCCCAACACACAATTATGTTGAGTAAACATTAAAATGGGAGTCCAATGAAACATGCCTGTTGGTTGCCTTTAAAACTAAAGTTATAAATTAGAATTTAAGAAATAATTTAACATTTAAATACCAATGGTCTGTTTTACATACTAGGACTCCATGTAATGATTTGTCGAAAGCAGTGTGTGGCAGAGAGTTCACCTGCTGCTCTGGGGTCACCAGAGAGGAGATGCAGAAAAGAGCTGAGCTGTTGGAGCCAGTGTCAATCAATGGGAGAGAAAAAGTGCTCAGGGAGCTGGCCAGCCAGCTGTACCCTAGTGAGTCACTTTGCTGGAAATGTATTCTTAACTAACATGGGGGCTGTGCTAAGAACTACCAACTTTAGCTCTAGCTGGTTTGGCTCAGTGGATAGAGCGTGGGCCTGCAGACTGAAGGGTCCCAGTTTCGATTCAGATCCAGGGCACACGCCTGGGTTACAAGCTCGATCCCCAGTAGGGGGTGTGCAGGAGGCGCCAATCAATGGTTCTTATCATTGATGTTTCTCTCCCTCTCTCAAATCAATAAAGATATATTTTTTAAAAATTCCCAGCTTTATAGTATTTTTTTCTTGTCAGAATCATCTTCTTTTGTCTAATCCAGCGGTTCTCAACCTGTGGGTCGCTACCCCTTTGGGGATCAAACCACCCTTTCACAGGGGTCGCCTAAGACCATCGGAAAACACATATATAATTACATATTGTTTTTGTGATTAATCCACTATGCTTTAATTATGTT